AAGAAGAAGAAGAAGATAGCAGGAGGGGAAGAATGAAGGGGAGTAAGTCGGACGGGGAGACGAACCATTAGAGATGATGGACTCTGAAAAACAGACTGAGGGTTCTACAGGGGAGAGGGTGGGGGGATGGTTTAGCCTGGTGATGGGTATTAAAGAGGGCACATTCTGCGTGGAGCACTGGGTGTTATGCACAAACAACGAATCATGGAACACTACATCAAAAACTAATGATGTAATGTATGGTGATTAACATAACAATAAAAAATTATTTAAGAACTATGAGAAAATAAATTTCTGTTATTTAAGCCACTCATTCCATGGTAGTTTGCTATGGTAGCTCTAGCAGTCTCACACAACTGGTATTATTTCTTTATTATGTATTTGGTCAAATTTACCAGTGAAGTCATCTGAACCTGGAGTTTAAACATGAACATGTTTTAATTTACATATCCAATTTCTTTAATAGATATAGGGCTATTTCCAGATGTGTGAGCTTGTGTTTGCAAGGAAATTGGCCATTCCATCTTGGTTATCGAATGTATTGTCTTACATTCATTTTAATAAAAAAACGCAAATAAGAAAACAAAACCACCAGTTACCCTACTGTCTAAAAATAACCATTACTCATGTTTTGCTGTATATTCTTCCAGATAATTTTTATACATGTGCACACCAGCTTCCTTATTTCCCCCAGCCCCCCCTTTTTAAATAAAACTGCTATTACCCTTAATATCCAGGGTTTTTGTTTTTTGTATCATCAGATCTTTGAAGACACAATTATGGATGGATGTTTACTAATGTGCTTAACTCATCCCCTAACTTATGTTGCTTCTGATTTGGGGAGGGAGCATCACAAAGAATGCCACATCCGTATCCTTCGCTTTGTTGCTGGGAACAACTCAGGTGTGCATCTTGGTTTACAGGCTTAGGAGTGGAATTACTGGGTTGGCCAGTTTGTTGTGGACTTCTGGTTTTGAGTACCCTGTGCTTCAGGGGAGGTGGGGGGAGGGAAGAACCCATCCCACTCCCCCTCTCCATCCCCCAGGGACTCACTATCTCTGGAGAACAGCCCAACCAGCACAGCCAGTGGGAGTGTGAGAAAGCAAGTGCAAGTCAGCACCTTCCGTGCAGGGATACGGGAGTGGATGCAGAGGGGTTTGGTAGAGTAACTTCCTGGGAGAGAGGAGGCCCAGGATCCACGGAAAGGAAATTGGGCCAGGAGAGGTGGAGGCTGGGAGAAGGGGAATGATGGCCGCCTGGTTTGGTAGAGCCAGAAGAGGAAGTTGGAAAAGCCAAGGGTAGGAAGGGAAGCCTCAGGGGATTACCTTTGTCCCTTGTCAGCAAGTTTGGGGACGTTGGGAGACAAGGGCTGATGTGAAGGCGGAGGGGGGGTTTGTATGGACTAATTTCCAAGAGGACTCTTTTCTCCCTCTTCCTTGCTCCCCTTCCCACCACCGTCTCAATTCACCTCAAGGCTGGAGAACAGCCTTCTGCTCGGTAGCAGTCAGATCTTTAACTGGGCACTTGCCACATGCCCTGGATGAGTCGATACCTGTCACCTGTTAGCATGATCCTTGCTCATTGAGGCCCGGTTACATTCTACAGCTGGGGACTGGAGACCAGGGAAGGGAACTCTCCTGCTGGGCTCTCAGAGCCAAGAAGAGGGGGTGCTGGAATTAGAGCCCTTGTTGGTGCAAGTGTCCAAACCTCTGGGGGCTCCAGGGCTCCAGCCCTGCTCTGCTTCTCTCCTGTCCGTCTCGCCCCCCCGACAGATGCCACCCCCACAAGAGACAAACGGCAGCAACTCGCAGGCCACCAGACTCAACCAGAGACGTCTGTGCCCCCAAGGGTACCTCTAGAAATGTTTGGAGACAATTTTGGTTGTTACAACTTGGCAAGTTTCAGGGAGAGGAGCGTGGGGCGGGGGCCCCTCCTGGGTCTCATGCTGGAGGTTAGGGATGCTGCTCAGCACTCTGGGTGCCCAGGACGACCCCCACCACAGAGAGGTGTCGGGCTCACGTGCCACAGTGGTACTGTGGCAGAGAAGACTGCTCCCGGAGGAGCAGATGGGCTTGCCCTTGCAGACGCCAGCTGGGGGCTTCCTCCAGTCTCTGTCCTCCACTGCAAAACCCCACTGTAGTGGCCCCACCTCTCTCCAGTGCCCTGTGTCAAGCCCGCTGCACTGTGCTTTAACAAATGGAACTGAATGATTTTTTGTTTCACATCTGTTTCAGGTGGGAACAGGGAGACCTCTGGGTGAATTTCCTTCCAGATGTGCAGGGAGGGGCCAGCTCCTGGGCAGATGTGCAAACACCCACCTGCAGGCCGAGTGCCCTGGGGTGGGGACCGTACCAGGCAGCTGTGGGCAGGGCGGTGGCTGTGGGAGGGAGGAGGTGGAGTCTCCTTTTTCTAGGGCAGTGTCACCTGCCTCCTGCCCAGGGGCACTGCCCCTGCATTACCCTGCCAGTGCGTGTGGCCGTGCGAAGCTGGGGCCTGTTCCCCGGAGCCTTCAGAGTGATCGTGGACCTTACAAGCCCTATGTTGCCGGACCCCCAGAACGCAGAACATGGCAGATGGGGCGCAAGCCAACCCCAAAGTGTTCAGGAAGAAGGTGCTGGTTAGGCACCTCTCTGGGTGGATGGGCCCAAGTCTCAGGGCCTCTTCTCCCTGGAGAACCTCCAGGTACGTGCCTGCTACCCGCGGATGGAATCCTCCACGGAGAGCAGCAGGGATGGGGTTGGGGAACTGGCTCCTAGAGCTCATTTCTCCAGAGAGAAGAGCTCTAAGTCTCTGAGTGATGGTGAGATATGTCACTGCATTTTTTTTTTTAACTGAAAGTTTCTTTTCTTTTTTTTTTTTAAGATTTAATTTATGTATTTGAGAGAGAGAGTGAGAGAGAGAGAGAGAGAGAGCACATGAGAGGGGGGAGGGTCAGAGGGAGAAGCAGACTCCCTGCTGAGCAGCGAGCCCGATGCGGGACTTGATCCCGGGGCTCCAGGATCATGACCTGAGCCGAAGGCAGTCGCTTAACCAACTGAGCCACCCAGGCGCCCCTGTCACTGCATTTTCAGCACCATAAGGGCCTTAAGGATCATCTAGTCAATCCTCAGGCCCAGAGAGGCTAAAGGATCTACCCGAGGTCACACAGCATTTTGGAAGAAGAGCCGGGACTAGAATCTAAGGACCCAGGTTTCTTGGCTCCAAGTGCAAGACCCAGCCAGCAGGTTGGGTCATGTGACTGCCTGGAGTGTGTATGGAAAGGGGGTTGGTTCTGATCTGTGACAGTGGCCTGACCCCATGAGACAGTGAGCTTCCTGTCTTGGAAGCTGGTGCAGGAAGGGCATTCCTGCTCAGGGTAAGAAGGAAGGAGGCTCTGCCAGCCTGGGGACTGTTCTTTCAGCAGGTGCAGGGCCGGTGGGAGGTTCTCCTCACAGAGCCCGGGGAAGCAGGAACAGAGGCCTGAAGGGGCAGCATTGATGGGGTGATGAGGCCCGGGAGGGAGCTGCAGGCCCAGAGCTGCAGGAGAGTGGAAGGAACAGACTCAGGACTTGGACTTTTCTCCTCTCTCAGATCTAGCTTGGGTATGAAGTTCTTCATCATGGTCATCCTGGCTGGCAGCGGTGAGTAAAGGCTCTGGGGGGACTCCTCTGTCTCTCCCGCTCCCACACTTTCTCCTGTGACCTTGGGAACCTAGATTCTTGAGCCACTGGCTGGGGGCCTGTGCTGCCTCTCTGGGGCGCAACTTCCTCGCTCAGGCCCTGGCGGCCTTCATTGCCTTGGGACTGTTTGCTCGCCGGGCCAGCCGTAAACACACCGGGGGCCCTCAGCTTGGCATTTATGAGCCTCCAAGGTGACAGGGCCCAGAGCTGCGGAAGCATCGTAAAACGGTAGTGTTTGCTTAGGGCGTCTGGCCGCCCTGGGAAAACCTGGGTGTTTGTGCAGATAGGAGTGTGTGTTTGTGTACATGTGTACATTAGACAAGAGCTAATGGGTTTGTGTGTGGCTATATGCACGTATATCTCTGTGTGTGGAGGGGTGTCTCAGCACACGTCAGCAAAACGTGTAGGTGTATGTTAATTGGGGCACCCGGATGTGCGTGAGGTGTGTGTGTAGCAGGTGTCTGGGAGCTCACAAGCCATCAGCAGGGGAGGGGTCCGGGGGCTCCTTTCCTGGGACTGGTGCTCCAGCACAGCGCTGGGGACAGCTGAGGCTCCTGACGCAAATCTGACCCCACACACAGCCAGGTGTCTCGGGGAGGTGGGAGGTGACCCGGAACCCTCACTGACTTCTCATCCAGCCTGTTACCTATCGCCCGACGCAGCCTGGTTTGCGGGAAAGAAAGAGATCCCAGAAACAAAATAAGGTTAACCCTGTGGCCAGATGTGAGTAAGATGGGGTTGAATTGGCTGCTAAGGTTGTTTAGAAACCAACCATTTGCCTTCCGCCCCAACATTGGCCGGGGACAGCTCCAGCCTGACCGAGCGCAGACTCCGTTTCTTCTGCTGGGAGCGCGAGTGTGGATCGTGTGTGCTGCATATGTGAGTGTGTACCGGCGTGCAGCTGAGTGTGTGAGGTGTATGTGTGAGTGTGGGTGTGCTTGTGGGTGTGAGGCGTGCGAGCATGTGAGGTGTTCGCGGGTGAGTGTGTGCACGACTGTGTATATGATAGTGTGCGTCTGTGTGGGAGGTGCCTGTGAGTGTATCACGGGTGTGTGCTTGTGAACACATGCGGTGTGTAGAGGAAAGCGTGAATGTGTATCTTGCATGAGTGTGCTGTGTGTGAGGTGGGTGAATGTGTGTGTGCGAAGTGTGTTTCTACGTACGGTATGCATGGGTGTGTGACTTGCGTGTGTGTGAGCTTGCTGAGCAGGACCACGTGACTGTGTGTATGAGGTATGTGTGGGTGAATGTGTGTTTGTGGGTGAGTGCGCACCAGAGTGTGTGCGCAGAGGGGAGTCTGAGGTGTGGGTGCCCGTGTGAGTGTGACGGGGTGTGTCTCCCTGTGTGTGAGGTGTGGAGTGCTCGTGTGATAATGTCCACCTTGTATGGAGCTGCTGGTCAGGGTGCCCTGGGGATGGAAGTTTCTCCCCTCCCCCCCCAGGGTAACACCTGCACAGCCAGATGGTGGGCAGTGGGAGGCCGGGGCTTCAGGCCAGGGAGCCAGGAGGCCAGGACCTACAGAGGGTGCTCTCTCCTCACAGCCCGGGCACCTGGTGCCCTGCAGGAGAGCCGCTTTATCCCTAGATTTGGCAATTGATGTCAAAGCGCTTGTGCAACCTGCTCACGGTGCCACAGTGCTCCCGGAGAAACCTGTTTGCAAACCCGGGGATGTCTGGGTTTGACTCCCAAGGGCCAATTCCAGATCGGGCCCCCAAGCTGCTTGGCACGCACAACCTCCTCCAGCAGTGGGACGCCAACACAGCAGGAGGAAGGGCTGGGGGAGAGAGCTAGCGTCCCCTTTCTCCCTCTCCCCCCCACCCACAGCCCTCACATCCCTCCTGCAGCTCAGGGATGGGCTCAGGCCCCTGGGATGTGGGGTCCTGCCTCTCCCTGCCCCAGACCCTGCCGAGACATGTACCTCACTTGGCACCAACCTCTAAAAGTCACTTGCCCCAGCTCCTCGCCCGTTTCCTTTCTTGTTTGCTCCTTATTTTCTGTAATGACAAAAATCACCAAGCCAATAGACAGGAAGACTCAGGTAGAGCAGGATTCCCCAAACCCATTAAATGGGGCTACAGTAGCTCTCCTGCCTTGTGCGGGGTGGCCTCACCAAGTAAGGACTTAAACACCAGGCTCTGGGTTGACTCAGCAGTGAGCGAGGAGGAGATGCTGAGTCAGCACAGGCCCCGGGGGCCCAGGAGGCGGGGAGCAGGGGAGAGGAGAATCTGTCGCTGGGGTGGGCTGGCCTGGCAGATGCTGCCACTGAGTTTGCTGGTGTGGGAAGGGGTCATGGCGCTATTGCTTCTGGTAAGACACGGACAAAGGGAAAAGGGGTGTGTGTGTGTGTGTGTGTGTGTGTGTGTGTGTGTATCCGTCTGTCTTTGCTGAACGACCAGAGCGCCGAATTGTCTCTGGATTCATCGTAATTTGCACCAGCCCCAGGACTGTGGTAGGGACCCTGAGTCCCTCCTGGGGGCAGAGGAGCCAGACAAAGCCCAGGGCCCAGAATCAAACATTCAGAAGAGCATGTGGCATTTGTGAAGTCCCTTACAGTGTACCGGACACTTGGGATCTCACTGCCTGGGTCCAAATTCTATCCCTACAACTTTTTGATAATGTTCTCGGGCAAGTTACTCAGTGCTCTGGGCCTCAGTCTCCTCATCTATAAAGTGGGGATAATAACAGCACTCAGTGAGCTAATGCATGGGAGGGGCTTAGGGCAGCGCCTGGCACAGAGCCCTCAACAAATAGTAACAGTAATTACTTTCTAAGTGCCCTAGTGCCTCACGGTTGTTTTATTTTATTTTTTTAAGATTTCATTTATTTATTTGAGAGAGAGACAGAGAGAATGAGCAGAGCGGGGAAAGGGGCAGAGGGAGAGGGAGAAGAAGACCTCCCTGCTGAGCAGGGAGCCCAATGCGACCTGGGGCTCGATCCCAGGACTCTGGGATCGGGACCTGAGCAGAATCGGGACCTGAGCAGAAGGCAGACGCTTAATGGACGGAGCCCACCCAGGCGCCCCTTCTCACAGCTTTTTATACATTGCTTCCATCCTCCCCCTCTGCTCACCCTCCCTCCCTCCCTCCCCCTTTCCCTGGCCCCGGGGTATGGGGACGACAGTCGAAGGGCCACCCACCAGGCAGGACGCTCACAGCACCCCTTGGTTCTCTTGCAGTCCTGCCCGAGGCCCGCAGCAGCCTGCTTAACCTGAAGTCCATGGTGGAAGACATCACGGGGAGGAGCGCCATCCTGTCCTTCGTGGGCTACGGCTGCTACTGTGGGCTGGGAGGGCACGGGCTGCCCATGGACGAGGTGGACTGGTAGGTCCCCGAGCGCCTGCGCTACTGTCGTGTCGGGACTGGGAAGGGGGGGCAGTGAGGGTCAGACTGGTCTCTGTCTCTGATGGGTGGGACAGGACCCTTTCCCCAAAGGATGAGGCTGGTTCAGTGAGTTAGTGACCAGGAGCCTGACCTTGACCCGTATCCTCCTCAACTGTCTTGGATGTTTTCTACTGTCCTTCTCCAAGTCTTGGGCTTGGAGGCATTTGAACTCGCACTCTCGCCAGGAAGGAAACATTGACCTGCCCCCAAAACACATGAGAGCATCGGACACGCAGCTCACGCTGAGCAAAAGCAAGGGCTGTGACCCCTCTCACCCCCATCACCCTGGAGGCTCTGATGGAGGGCTGAGCTTACTTTCTGCTCCTATCTCCCCAGAAGCAGCCAGCACCAAGTCTGGTATCATGGGGGCTGGGGAGGGGGGAGGCTTGATAAATCCATGTTGACTAATTGCCTTCCTCCACCTGAGGGGTGGGGGTGGCCACACTACATTGCTTCCTGTCCTTCACCCCCCCAGTCCCACTCGCCCCTGCGGAACTTTGTCTCTCCCTGGCCATCCCGCACAGCCAGGCATGGCCTCTTCATATAGTCAGGCAGGCTCCTTTGACAGTGACTGAGCCCTGACTCTCCTTCCCATCCTGTCCACATCGCCGGACAGCCTGACGCTTCCTGCCTCCTGCAGCTGCATCAGGGCTCTCAGGGGGAAAGCCGGGAGCCCTGCGCATAGAACAGGGAGGCAGGATCATGGGCAAGAAACTGGGCCACTGGCCGGGCTCTGCCTGGCTGTGGACCTCAGGAAGGTAACTGTCCCTCTCTGGGCCTCAGTCTGAAGGTCTGATCTGTAAGGAACTGGTACAGATGGTTGGGGTCTCTGCCAGTGGGAGACCAGCCAAGCCTACCTACATGGGCCTGCTATCCGCTACCTGCCCCTAGGTGCTGCCACGCCCATGACTGCTGCTACCAGAAGCTCTTTGACCTGGGCTGTCACCCCTATGTGGACCACTATGAACACGCCATAGAGAATAATACTTCGGTCATCTGCAGTGAGTTCTCCCCGGGCCATTTCCCACTCCCCCACCTAGGAGAAGGGCTTAGATTGCCAGGCCCCCTGCCTGCCCTCTCCTGGGGCTGTGCACACGGTTGCCAGATGACATACAGGATGCCCAGTTAAATTTGGGTTTCAGATAAACAACGAAAAATATTTTCACCTAAGTGTACCCTAAATATTGCATGGGACAGCCTCATACTAAAAATTAAATGTTAGCGTAAAATCAGTTACTAGTAGTATAAAATTAAGAGTTAGTGTAAGTATATCCCATGTAATATCTGGGACATACTTAGACTAAAATATTTACTGTTTGTCTGAAATTCAAATTAGCCAGGCTTCTTGTTTTTGTTTGTTAAATCTGAGAACCCTAGCTGTGGTCTTCATCCTGATATGCTCTGACCCTCCAAGCCTGAATTAGCAGCCTGATTCCCTGGTCCTTGATTCTTAGGCTTCGCAGGGTTTAGGGAGGGTTCTGATTCAGTGGGTCTGGGTGAGGGCCCAGGAATCTGTTTTTAACGAGATCCTCTGGTGATGGTGAGACTTTGTGACATGCCGACCTGGGTTCAAACCTGGATTCACAGCATCTCCTGCTGTGTAACCTTAAGCAGGGTGCTTCCCTACCTGGACTCTGTCTCTCCATGGGCCCATGGAAGGGTTTAGATCAGAGCAGACCTGTTCCCTTCCGGTTCTGTCTTTGGGACCGGGCCAGAAGGTGGCCCCATCCCAGGACTCTCGCTGTTACCAAGATTCAAGCTATGGGAACCAGGCCCTGTGGGGTTCCCTCCCTTGCCATGAACTCTCCAGGTCATTCCTCAACTGAGGGATGTGGCATCCAAGTTAATGGCCCAAGTATCCCTGCCTTGCCTCCCCTTAGGTAGCAGGTGCCTCCTGGCCCGGTCCCATGGGCAGCCCCGGGTTCCCTTTGTCTCCTTGTCTTAACCAGGTTCTTGCTCACTATCCCTCACTAAAAGCTCACAAGCAAGCCCAGCTTTGCAAAGAAACCCTAAGTCTCCTCTTCTCTGGGGAAAAGTCTGGTGGGGAACTGGGCACATCTGGGACCCCTTGGGAGCCCAGGGCACTGAGGTTCTCGTATGCTGTGGTTCAAACATGGAGTGAAGGGGCTGGCCTGAGAGAGGGGATGTCCCCTCATTAAAGCATTTCAAGGATCCCCAAAGGGCGGTGGACTAACCCAAGCAGTGGTTTTCACATTGGGTTCTGGGGATTCCTGTGGTCATGGGGTCCCTGAGTGGTCCAGCTGGCCCTGTTAACCCATTTGATAGCTTAAGGGCTTCTCTTTTGGCCATTTGATAAGTTAGCCTCCTGCAAAGAGTCTCATTTAAGGGCAAGGATTCTGCGGATGGAAAGTTTGAGAAGTGTGCAAACCACTGAGCCAGGGAGGGGTTCTCAAAGGGTGTTCCCCAAACCAGCAACCTCACCATCACCTAGGAACTTACTAGAAATGCAGATTATCAGGCCCCACCCAGACCTACTGAATCTGAAGCTGTGGGGCTGGGGCCCAGCAGTCTCTGTCTCAACAAGCCCCCGGTGGACCCTAGCACACACCTAAGGTTGAGAACGGTCAGGGTGGACGATTTCTGGAGGCTCAGAATAGTAGCAGCAGTAACAGTGGCAACAGTGACTAGGACTTAAGCATTTGCTCGTGGGACGCCCTGACCAAGCTCTTTAGGAGCCCTTCCTCAGCGGCTCCTTACCGCCAGCTCCCTCCGGTGGGGGGGTGGGGAGGGGGTTCTGTGATTCTGTGATGGAAGAGAGGAGGCCCCAGGATGGGGAGTTCCTGACACCTGGGTGTCTGTCCCATCTCTGCCTTGGGTTGGCTGGGTGACTTAGGTAAACCCCTTTCTGAACCTCAGTTTCCCCAACTATAAAGTGGCGTGTTGTACTTCAGGGCTTCCCTGATTTAAGCGCGCCCAGAGCCACCAGGAGGGCGGTGGACACAGATGACTGGGCCCGCCCCAGAGCTTCTGAGCCGTGGGCCTGGGGTGACCCATCAGTGACGCTCTGCTGTCACCCTCCCACGGGACCACCTTCCGAGGCCCACTGGAACCTCTGCCCCGCACAGGTGAGCTCAACGAGACGGAGTGTGACAAGCAGACATGCGAATGTGACAAGAGCGTGGTTCTGTGTCTCCGGAACCAGACGTACAACGAGAAGCATCGCAACTATCTCAACATCTACTGTCAGGGTCCCACGCCCAACTGCAGCATCTATGAGCCCCCTCCGGGGGAGGTGGCCTGCAGACACTTCTCCCCCGCTCCCCCCGCACCTCCCTAGTGCCCTCTGGGGACCAGACAGATGCAGGGGGAGGTGGGGATGAGACCGGGAGCCTGCGGGACTGCCTGGCTGCTTCTTCCCTGGAGCCCCCCCACCCCCCATGAGATCAGCCCCAGAGGACTCGGGAAGGCCTGTGGCCCCCAGGCTCATCCGGCCCAACCCTGAGCGTGGCCGTGTCCCGCTGCGTGGGTCCTTGACTTGGCAGGGACCTCTCCTGGGTATGGGAGGCAAGGCCTGAGAGAGAAGAGGTGGGGGTCCTCTGACTGGGGCCCCTGGCCCTGGCCCCAGCCTGACTTGCTCAGCCTGGCCCTCAAGGTGGGACCCTGAGGCCTTAGACACCAAGACCCTGAGCTGCGGGCACAGCCCCAGAGCTTGGTGTGTCCTCAGACAGGTTCCCAGACCGACAGCGTGCTGGTCCCAAGGCCTGGGCTCTGGAGGCCTCGTGGCTGCTCCTAGGCAATAACTCAGGGTGATCCTTGCTTTTTCTCTAGAGCCCCAGGGTGGGTGGGTGACCCAGAGTCCGGGCCCAGACTTCACAGGATGGCCACAGTGCTTAGCCTTTCAGCCCCCAACTCTGGCCTCAGGGCAGTCTCCAGGGCACTGACAGAACCCGCATCCTCAGCGGCACTCCCCTCGGTGCAGGGTGACCAAGACGGGGGCCCAAATATGTCCCCCAACACTCACAGGTCTTCCCCCGCCTCCCTGCTGAGCCGGCCCTGCAATACTGCATGGCTCTGAGGAGCACCCAAACCCAGGCTCCTGGGACCCTAACCGATGTGAGGGCACAGGGCCGTTCCCCCTCCTGGCTCCCCCCTACCCCGCAGCAGCTAGGCCAGTGGGTGGAAAGACCCCAGACCCCTCTCTCCCTGGCAGGGAGAGGCGAGGCTGCACCCTGGGGTCGGAAGCCCTCTCAATGGGGAGGAGGCCGAGGGCTGGGACCCACCTCCATGAAGGGGGAAACAAAGGCAGGAGGGACCAGGTCCAGGTAGGAGGCTGTGGGGAAGATTCAGGAAGGCAGTGGGGAGGGAGCCACATGCTGAGGGAAGGGAGGGGAGAAGGTGGGACAAGGTGAGGCGTCCAGACCACCTTGTGGTCTGGGCAGGAGAAGCGGGCTAAAGGAACCTGGGGCGCAGGGCCCCCCTTGGGCCCAGGTTCCCATTTGGCCGGGGGCTTGTGGGCAGAGGTGGAGGAGGGTCAGCCTCCGCGGGGCCAGCTTTCTTGACCCTGCGCCAGCTCTGCTGTTTCTCCAGGTGCGCCCTCCCCTGTCCCGCCTGCCTCACCTCTTGACCTCAAGCTCAGCGGCCTCCAAGAAGCCAGCATGCCCTGTGTCACCCCGAGGACCCACTGGCATGGCGCTGTGACCCACCTGGACACCGAGAACAGCCACCAGGAGCTTGGCCCACCCTGCCAGGACCCTGTAGACCACTGTCCCCAGGGATGGTCAAGAAAGCCAGAGGCGAGAGAGGCATGGGGGTGGGAGGAGAATGTCTACCCCCCAAATAGCAGGACTGGGCAGAAGCCTTGTCCAGCTGCAGCTTCTAGAACACCAGGCTTGGGGACTGAGGATGAAGCTGTTGGTTGGCGTTGGCTGTCACTATGCATGGGAGGAGACCCTTCCACCACTCACCTCCCGCTGACTGGCGTGGCCTGGTGGCTGTGGTCCCCTGTGAGCCTCATCACTGACATCTTCCAGCTAACGAACTACCCTCTCCTGGCCATCTTGGGCGGGCCCATTATCTCTGAACCAAAGCCCCCACCAAGCCAGGGGTGGAGTCACGATGGGGCACCCAGAGTCCCCGCTGGAGGCGGGGTCGGCAGAAGCCTCTGCCCCTCACCCGTGGGAGCCCAGCTTTCTGGCTGCGCCCCTCTAGCTTGCACAAACCTGCAATCCAGAGAGTTTGGGCCCGTGTGTTGGGACGAGATTCTGCTGCCAAGTCTTGCCTGCCCCACCCCCCGCCTTGCTCCGGCCTGTCCAGGATGCTGCACCCCAGAGACACTCCATAGGACTCAGCAACCCCTCCTCAATCTAATAAAGGTCTCCTGCCTTGGCTCCCCACTGCTGGTCCTCCTTGGCATGGTACTCACTGGTTGGGCATCAGGGGAGGGCACAGAGCCTCCCTCCAGGATCCGCGGCTCTGGGGAAAGCAGGTTCTCTGACCCCCAGCAGCTGGCCTGGCCTGTCCCCTTCCTGCCCCGGGGCCTGGATGAAGTGGCCCGCTCCAGCAGAGGGGCGAGTGTCAGGAAGGCTGGTGTGTGCCAAAGGCTGGACAACGAGAACTGTTGGGCTGGGGGCTTTCTGGCATCAATCTCCACCTTGTCCTTTGCTGTTGAACATGTGAGGCCCAGAGAGGGAAAGTAACTTGTCCAGAGTCACACAGGTTGTCAGTGATGGGGCTGGGTCTGACTCCTCGGGATCCGACTTTTTTCTTAAGATTTATTTTATTTATGTGTTTATTTATTTATTAGAGAGAGAGAGAGAGAGAGAAAGAGAATGAGGAGGTGGAGGAGCAGGGGGAGAGAGATAAGCAGACTCCGAGCCGAGTGCAGAGCCTGACTCGGGGCTCCATCTCACGACCCTGAGATAATGACCTGAGTTGAAACCAAGAGTTGGACACTTAACTGACTGAGCACCTTCCTTGCACCTTCTTAATGATGACTGGGCAGCTGGGGACAGTGGGGTCAGCGACTGAAAATCCAGCAGGGCACCAAGTCCTGGTCCTCGCCCTGGCCCCTTCTCTGATTTAAGTCCCTTCCCTTCCCTGTTGTGATCAGTTTCCCCATGTGCAGAGGGACCAGAGAAGCTGTTTCAGGTGTTCCCCAAAGCCCTGTGTTTTCCTGGGCACATCTGGAATGATCTTTGGGGCTCTGCTCTCCCCACCTCAATCTTCAATTGAGCAGCTCTGCTTTTCCTATATTATATACTGAGCATTCACACGAACTACTATAAGAAGAAAAGGACATTCTTCAGTAACTTTTTTCAAAGCTTGAAAGCCCCTGGACGAGATCATCCATTAGTTCATTCATTCCAATGGACCTATACCGATGGTCATCTATGGACCAGGGGTGATAGCTTTGATCAGACACAGACTCTACCTGAGGAAGCCCATATACTGGTGGCGGGGGGGAGACATGTGATAACCTTGCCATATGGTGCCAAGCAGTATCATGCGGAGCATGGAGAGCATGGAGATTGAAGCCCCGAGTATGTCCTTGGCAGTCCCAGAAGGGCCCCCAAGGGGCTAAGGGGTGGAGCTGAGATGGCATGTTCGAGGTCCTTGGAGGTGGAGGAGAGAGGTGAGGGGGTCACAAGTTTTGAGGAAGAGGCCCCTTGCTTCTGTAGTCTGGGGCGGGGAGGTGGTCTCTCCTTCCTCAGGACTCCTTCCAAATTAGGTCATTTAGGCTAAGGCTTGAGGAAGGGACCACACTTGCCTTGGGCTGGTCATCAACAAAGACTTTGTCCTTGACCCCACTTTAGTTAGGCTTCTTTGAGACCTTTCTCAACCAGGCCTTGACCTCAGGGTTCCTGTATCCATCGGCCCCGTTTTAGCAAGAATCCCATCCCACCCTCAATATCTGATCAAATTCCTTACCCTCCACCGTTTCCCAGGTGGTTGCTGAGCACCCAGGCCTGCCTGCCCCAGGAATCCTGTTAGGTCAGTGTAGCAAGAATCATCCAACCCTCTTAGCGATCTTCCATCCACCAGCCTCTCTCCCTGGTCCTTGGCTATACACCCCCACCTAAGAAAAGGGAGGATTCGTCATTGTTGTATTCAAAATGGAGAGCCCAGTTCCATACGGGCCCTTGTTGTGACGGTTCTTGAATAAAATTCGTTTTTACCATTGAAATGACTGTACATCTCCGGTTTTCTAACAGCTGTGGTGTCATGACTCGTGTGAGATCAGATTCATGGTCATCGGACCCCTGGCCATGTCACCTAGGACCCCGAGTGGGCATCCTGAGGCCTTTGTCTTCAGTCCTGATTGATCAGGGACCCATTGTGAGCCCGACTCCTGAGCCAGGGCTCCGGGTAAATGTCCACTGAAGCACAGCAAGGATAGGTTTTGGTTCTTAAGGTTCTGAGTACACTCGGTGAAGCTGGATGAGAGTTACAGGCTGCTTTGTTGGACAGATACCTGCTGGGCTGGAAGTCTTTCTTCCTGGCCCTTTCTTTTGAGTAGGGATTCTCTCCCTGACTCCCGAGGCTGGAATATTTTTCCTGGCTCTTTGGGAAACCTCTCTATTCTATTTGATCCTCCTTCTTCCAAGGAAACTTCTTAGTTGACTGAAGCCGCCCATCCCTTCCCGACCCTCTGCAGAACTTGGAACTTCACTGCTTCCTCTAAGACTTCTCCCTTCCCATGTCCCCACCTACCTTCTTTGATCTGCCCTTCAGTTCCCTTGTATGCCCTGATATGACCCCTTCAAACCCCTGCCTCCTCCCTCCCTCTGCCTGCCCATGCCAGCCCTTTGGGCCCTTGAATATTTAGCTCCCTGTCTCCATCAGGTTTTCTCAAGGGACTCAGGGACCCCTGGAAGCAACCACCTAAAGCTAAGAAGGAAAATGTTCTTTAGAAACAGACTGGATATTTTATTCACTTAGATGGGCTTTGGAGACATCCAGGCAGCTTCTTGATGTCCCCTCAATCTCTCCCCTAAAATGTATTCCATGGCCTCCTTAAAATTACATATTGGGGTGGGGGGCGCCTGGGTGGTGCAGTCAGTTGAGCCTCTGACTCTTGATTTTGGCTCAGGTCATGATCTCAGGGTTGTGGGATCAAGCCCCGTGTCAGGCTGTGCACTCAATGAGGAGTCTGCTTCTCCCTCTCCCTCTGCCCCTCCCCTGCTTGTGCGTGGTCTCTCTCTCAAATAAATATACAAAATCTTTTTTAAAAATTACATATTGGGGCAACTGAAAAGCTTAAAAGTCTCCTCCACAAACACTGGTAAAAAGCTTTAACTCTCATACTGAATAAACAACCTTAACTTGTCCCATTTGCCA